CGGAGGGACGGGGCCGGGCGGCCGGCGGCCGCCGCGCTCGCCTGACCTGCGTGCCCCCCTGGCCGCGCCGGGCTGCCCCGAAGGATGTCCGCCCAGTCCAAGGGGACCGCATCCTCCTCCTCGTCGCCGTCCGAGGGGCCGCCGGCAGCCTCCAAAGCCAAGGTGAAGGAGCAGATCAAGATCATCGTGGAGGATTTGGAATTAGTCCTGGGGGACCTGAAAGACGTGGCCAAGGAACTTAAGGAGGTGAGAAGCGGAGGGCTGCGCGGGCGGACCCCCGGGCTGTCCTGCGGGGGGCGAGCCCCCCTCGCCCGTGGCCCGGGGGCCCTGCTTCCCCCCGGGGCTCCGCCGCCGCCCCCAGGCTCCGTTCGCCACTTCTTCACCGGGGGTCGAGCAACTGGTGTCCAGGCTGGGCACGGCGCGGCCCCCGGCCGTGCCCCGGGGCGGGCGGCTGTGCCTCGCTGCGGCGCCCGGCCATCCGGCATGGAACGGGACGGGGCGGCGCGGCCGAAGCCCCATGCCGCGTCCCCGCTGAGGTGCGCCGCCGGGGCCGGTCGTGCACCCCCCAGCTGCGAGGCGGCTCCTCCCGGGGACTGGCCACCTCGGCGCAGTCCTCGGAGTTTGTTGTGGTTTTGGTTTTTTTTTTTTGTTTTTGGTTTTTTTTGGGGTTTTTTTTTTTTTCCGGGAGGCAGGGGGTGCCTCTCCTGCGGGGTCCCCGCGGGGCGAGGAGGGTGTTCGGGGTTGCTGTGGGATCCGCAGCCCTGCCCGATCCCGGGCTGCGCCGGGCCGGCATCCCGACGGCGGGAGAGGCGTCAGGAGCGTCTCCACTCCTGCTCCAGCGGGTTTAACTTTTCGGCTGCACGGTGCAGCCCCATATTCACCCCCCGGCAGCAGCCCGGCTGGGATCTCCCGGCCGGTGAGGGCTGGGGGGTCCCTGACCCCCCCGCACCCGGCGCCCTGGGCGAAGGGTCCTTGCCCGGCTCGGCAGTACCGGCGCGGCTAAGTCTGCTTCTGCCTCTGCAGGCTGCTTCACCGGGAGCTGAGCGCCCTGTTTATCCTGCCTATCTGGCAAGATTGCTTTTGCAATCTTCCTTTTGCCGGTGGTGAGTGTCATCTCCCCTAGGTTAATCTGCAGGCAGAGTGCGATTACCGCGGGCATGTTCATAAGCAGGGAGATGCTGTAGCCGAAGGAAGAGAATTTGGCTGTCCTTTTGGAGATTTCCACGTTATCTTGATTTTGCTACACAACTGGTCGACAGATGGTTGGATTATGCACCGAAATTCAAGTCCAGAATCTCTGTGCATTGCTTTATAATCCTGTATTTGACATTTATAACAGGCTGTGTTTTTTTGCTATCAAATATTAGTTTTCTGTTTTAACAACATTGTCAACAAGTTTCATTCAACAGACTTTTGCCATCTGAGGCAGTACGAAATTCACCCAGTGGTTCGTATAATGTTGAAAGATGTATAAACACACAGCTCACTAATCACAGCTGTTAGACTTCTTTCTCATCCACAATTCCATATTTCTCCTTGTTTGAAATTGTATCTATAATTTCTCTTTCCCTTAATGTGCTGCTTGTCTGTGCTTTGTAATTTTTTGAGGTATTTTGAAGTGGAAATAAACATTGTTTGTAGGGCAGTTCTTCCAGCATTTTAAAGACTGATAGAGCAAACTAGCCTCTGTTGCTGCAGAAGCACATTTTCGGGACCTGGAGAGGATGTACTGTGATCTGTCCCATGAATGTAAATCATTCTCTGCACATTATCAGTCCTAGCTTTCCTCTAGTGAGCAAACAAGATCACTGTAGGTGGAGATCGTATGTCATCATTTACTGTGGCATCTTTTATCTTAGCAAACTTGTCTGTTATGGTTGACTGCATCTGTGAAAGAGAGCTGGATTTACCTCTGCTTGATGGGGAAATGCCTGGTGTGGAACTCCTTTTCCCAAGTAGAGTGAAATGTAAAAGGCAAGTTGTAGAGAAATGGTGCTGTAGCTCTGTAAGTGCTATGTACCTGTTGAAGGGTGGAAGGATTGCCAAGAGCATCTATTTTGAGGAAATAGAAGTATTTTTAGAAAAAGGATAATTACATCTTGTTCGTAACCACATATGGGCTTCTGAGTAATGCTTTTCTCTAAATATGTCTTATAAGGATGATAGCTGTGATACTCTGACAAGCAAGGGTTGCATATGCAATTATCTGCTTGCTTGCAATATTCTCACTGTGTGTTAAATACACTTTGTATGACATTTATTTTGAGAAGTCCGCAGCAGTTTGCCTTCTGAGTACCTCCAGTTGTCTGTCTTCTGTAGTGTGGACTAAGTCTGTACAAGATCTCTTGACGTATATGCGATGTATACCTTTTTTATGTGAAAGTAAGGTAATTGGTGAGACTATAAGTTTATAATCAGTCTCTTTCATAGATCGTTTGTAGGTGTTAGGAAGAATTGACAGATCTTTCATTAAGCACATAGGAAGTTGGTCTATACTCAGTTTTGGTGTATTACACACAGACGTATACCTGTGTTTCATTTGTGGTTCTTTATTGTAGGACCAGGCAAAGTGATAAACTAGAAGATATAAGTTCACGCTTTCCATTTTCACTACAAATTATGTTCTTCTGGAAATGTTTTGGCTACCCTTTTTTTCTAACTGGGTGTTTGCTGCAGTCCAGCTGTTGTGCTACAACCTTTTTTTCTTTTATTAGAAATACAGTGTTCTGAAAACAGCCTTTCATTCTTTTTATTACTATTGTGTTAAAAAAGACTTCAATTCTGCTACAGTAGTAGGGCATGAAGGCTTTTTTTGTGCAGTTAGAGTAATATTTAGTTGTGATATTAAAAATATGGCATTTGTAGAATACTTTTTTTTCTATTTATGTCTACCTATTTGTTGCCCTTAAATCTAAATTATTTAATTATTTATTAGATTATGCTTAGTGTAGCACTTTAGGTATTGGAATAGACTGGATGTCCTCTTCTAGCATCTTTTGGTCTTCTTTTGTAAGATTTCATATTCAAAGTTCTGTCAAACTGAAAGAGTTTCACTGCTTCAGAGTGAACTGTTCTGTAACAGTAAGGAGTATGGCTCTACAAGACTTTTATGTCTTGTTACATTTAGCTTGTTATAGTTCGCTTACATTAATGTATTTGCATCTGCTCCTTGTTCCAAAGCTTTTTCTAATTGATGCCTTAACATTTTTTGTACTTAAAAGGGGGGAGGAAGAAGTGGGGAGAGGATGGGGTATTAAATCCAGATGCACAAACCATGAAGCTTATAAATTTGCTGTAAAAACACATGACTAAATCATGTGGATTAAAACAAGTACATGTTAGGAGTGACTGTGTCTCAAAAGTGGAACATCTGTATCTTTTTTGTCCCTTATTTATTGGTCTGGTCTGCTTAGGATAAGGTAACCACAAAAGACTAAGGACGGAGAAAGGGGGTGACTAGGAGACATGTTAGGATGGAGTGGTGCTAAGTCCAGAGTCTGACTGAGCTCATGTATGGCTAGTCCTCTCCAGGGTGCAGTTAACCTAGGAGAGACTTGGCGTGTTTTGTCTCCTTGCTGAAAGGAAACACTGGGTGGGTGTATACCAACAGTGGGATGTGGTTTTGTGCTGGAAGAAATTAATGGATTTAAAATGAATTGAGTGGCTGTTATTTGATGAACATTCCAAAGAAAAATCAAAGGGATGCCAGAGGATTGAGTAACACTGACTATTCCTTTAGGTTCAGACTATTTCAAAGTTAAGTTGGTGAAGCCTTAAACTTTGGTTCTCCTCCAGAGGATTGGATAAAAGACCTTTTTCCCTGGAGTCTGTCTAGAAAGATGGTTATTATTAAGTCTTCCTTGCAGATTATATTTATCTGTCTGGTACCTAAATAATGAGGTGATGAACACTATTGGAAACCAGCAGACATGAGCTAATCAAACTATTCTGAATGTAAAATGCATGATGTAGCCCAAATTCTCTGATGACTTCAGAAGGGATTGTAGGGAGTCTGCATGTGCACCTGTGGACAGCAGGGCACAGGAATTTGTATCATCATAATGTTGATACTATAATTTTTAAGATTTCCCTGCTTTCACATTTTACGATGATGTTGCACATTTCTGTAGCCTTGCACTTGTTTACATTAAGGAAATACTTAACTAAATTGTTTGATAAATACTTTTTTGTAGTAATAAAAATTCATCATGCAGAACAAATTCCTGGAAGTTATGTGTGAAACATTTGCATAGCTTTTAATTGGCTAAATATGCTTCAACCTTTTACTGAAAGGAAGCAGCTGTGTAACTATTGCCAATGTTTAGAATAAAACAAAATGGAGGTGCAGGAGAAACAGAAGCCCTCATAGACATTGCACATGCACCAGTAAATTTCCAGTCTTTCTGAGTCTTCCTCCTCTGCTTTAAATCCTCCAAAAATGTCTTGCTGACAGAACAAGTGAATAATCCTCCCTCATTTAACTGATGCATTTATTTTCCATAAAGATGTGATCTATAAAATTTGGCCATGACTTAACAAATAACGTTTTCTAAGTCATGATGGAATTAGCAGATGCCAGCCTCTCTTCCCCCAAACACCATGACAAATTTTGTTATGGGATAGATGACCTTATTCCATAACCAGGCCAGTCATCTATCTAAGTGGAGGGTGGTCATGTATTCCATGGTCTTAATTTCTGGATCAGGCCTGCAGGAGCATATTACTATTTCAACACCAATGTTTTCCATTTCATTTTCGTTTTTGTGTTCAGCTAATGATCCAGATGGGAGGAAGGCACTTCAGGTTCTTGCCTGGTAATGCAGAAACTAGGAAGCTGCAGTTTGTATCCACCAAGAGAATTTCAGCAGCAACAGTCAATCACATATCAGTATCTCTGATGTGCAGGCAGCAATACAGACACGAATACAAAAAAAAACTTTTAGGTTCATATTGCTGCATGAAAGCTATGAGGGCAGGTATTACAGCATAGGTATAGAATATACTGTATAGAAATCGAAGTGTAGGTAGAACAATAGCAAAACATTTTAATCTGTTCCTTCTTCTCCTGCTGATCCCTGCCTCTTCACCTTTTTGGGCTCTCTCCAGATGTCAAGGACCTGCTGCTCCTTTTGCTAGGTAGGGGCAGTTGAAGGAAGAGGTTTTTGAGCATACTTGTTCCTACCGTTAGAAATCCAATAAATGCAGATGCCCTTCTTATGTATGGATTCTGGATGCTGGCCCTCTTA